CACTTGACTTCATTCTCTAGGAAGTCTGACTCTACATCAGCAACCATACCTTCATGGTCATTAATGATGTTAAGATCTTTCTTGTATAGTTATTTTGTATATTCTTGATACCTCTTCTTAATCTCTTCTGCCTGCTATATCCCTGCCATCTGAGGTTATGTAATGTAAATTTGTAGGAGACCCAATCAATACAAATGTATACTTTTTTCTCCAGATTATGAACAAAGTCAATGGACAGTAGGAATAATTCCAGAATAAGACTTGGCATGGCAAGCTTGGTGATTGGATAAATGGGCAATGAACCGAAGAGAAGAAAACACTGTAAGTTGAACTTTTCCACTAAGAGATCAAAATGATGAAAGGAGGAAAGTATAGTCACTGTGAGTATGATGGCCTGGGAAAGACCTGAGGGGTGAAGTAATTAGCATTCTTGATAAGACAAAGAATGGGGTTTGGAATAGCAGGGCTATAAAGAGATATGGAATAACAGCAGATTGTATTCCAATAAAGAAACTTCAGAATTCATGAAAATGGAAGTGGTAAATTTGTTGATAATAGTAACATCAAGGTTATGACCATCTCTTTGTGTAGCTGAATCGGGGTAAAGGAATACATCATGGGAAAAGAAACAGTTGAGGAAATTGAAGGTTAGGATGCTTAAGGGAGTGTCAATGTGAATTTTCAAGCCACCTATTATGAGGGAAAGAATTGGGGTAAAGAAAAATAATGTGACCCAAGCAATGAACTCATTTATGAAAGGAGCATCCTAGAGACAGTAGCTACAAGAGTTTTTATTGGGTATTAGACATGGGTTGAGTAAACCTCAAACGAGGAGAGATAACTTAATGATTATGGTAGAGAGACAGCCAAGAAATGGCAATAGAGAGCAAGGAGTATTCCAACTCCCCCATTAAGACCATTGAGTAGTTATAGGTTGGGCAGGGGGAGTAAGTAAAAATACAATCAGTGCTGGAAAAGTTGGCCAGGCCAGCTGTGCCTTCAGCAAGGATCCAGGTCTCAGACTGAATCAGAAGTTATAAGAAATGAGAATAGAAAAGATTTAGGATTAAATAAGTTTTTTGGGGGTTGGGTTTTTTTTTTTTTGGTTTCAGGTTTTGGGGGGGGGTTTGCCAACAGAGAAAGAATTTCAGAAAACACAGTGGAAAGAGTAAATAGTGTAGACTGTGACATTTGGTGGGTTGGGATGAGGGAAATAGGAATAAGGAATGAGGCAGCAGAGGATGGAGAAAAGAGTTTAAATGATGACAAACATGTTTGAGTGGGTTGAGGAGGCCATGACCAGTTGAAAAGTGGATGATTGTTGAGGCATAAATTAATATTGGTTATTAATACCCTAGAAATCTGAGCTCAGATTGTAATCTTCATAGGGCATTAGGAAGCTCAGGCCCTGGAATGAAATTCCTACCCTTCCCCCAAGACAAGAAATGAGAGACCAGATAAGGAGACTGGACCCCAAGATGGAATGATATTTCTCCTTTCCTGCCAAGGAAGGAGAACTGAATGTGATGGACTGGCAAGACATATGATAGACTGGCAAGGCATGAGATGGATTGTCAAAGCAGTAGATGATACATGGAATGGCATTTCTCCCATTCCCCCATATACCAGAAGATATGAGAGTGAATACAAGCTCAACAGGGATCAGCATTAGGATATGGCAGCCATAATATCTAATAGAATCTTATGGTTTATTAATAGTGGCATAACATATACAAAAATTATTTGGTAATCCTATTATACTCTGTCCAGGCCAGATCACATTATTACAGTTCTAGGATCCAGATTTTAAGAAACACATTAATAATCTCAAAAGTATCTAAGGAATGAGAGCAAAGATGCTGACAAACTTTCTTAGAGTTCATCACATATGAGAATCATTTGGATGATGAAGCTTGGAAAAGAAAAGATGCAGGTAAAACATGATAGCTATTTTCAGATATTTTAAGTAATGTCTTATTCAAGAGGAAAAATTGGTACTGTTTGCATCCAGCACACAGAACATAGGTTGTAAAACAACCTATCCAGATTCATTGGGGGGGGAAGTCTCCTTCAGAATTAGACTATTTAAAATCAGAATTAGCTGCCTCGGAAGGTATAGATTCTCTCTCAGATCTCTGAACAATGATGGGTGATCATTTGTCAGGTTGTTATGGAGCAAATTCTTTCTCAGTTATGGCCTGAGCTAGAAATTGCCTCTGAGCTCCCTACCAACTCTGACATTCTGTGATTCCGCGAAAATGATCATTTTTCAGTAACAAAGGTCCAAAAACAAGGGGAGGTGGGATTTTATGAGGCCAATGGTCAATTCTCATTAACCACAGACAGGTAGTCATTACAGGTCAGAGGCATATGAGTCCAGGATAAAGAATTAATATAGAATTAGTATACAAATAGGCAGCATTGGCAGACATTCAGAGATCTAGATATTCAAAAGGTGGTTGTAGTCATCCTGAAATTGTACTTTCAATCTGACTTTTTTTTCAATGACCTTGCCCTCACTCTTTTAAGTGCTAGTTCATAAGCTCACATCACACTCCTTAATCTTTAGCAGCACTGCTAATTCTTCCTGTATTGGAAACTAAAGTTAGCATCATAACAGATACCTGCCAAACTTCCTACTTTTTTTTTCCACTCATTTCATTATCAAATCTCTAAGATTAATTGAACATATGATGCCTGCTAGGACATATAAACCATGACAATCAGATCTTAAAATGGGAATATTAGCAAAGGAATTTGGTAATTGTGGTTCCAAAGGGTAAACAAATAGGCTATGCAGGGAAGAGAAAATAGTATAGAAAGGGCAATTTGAGGGAAAGGGATAAGCTAAATGAAGTGTGAGGTAGAAAAGTTTAATCAATATCTAGGTTAAAGGTAAAGGAAATGTGAAGTTCAGATTAGAAATAGGAATTTTAATAAAGATAAAGACAATACTGGAATCTAATCCCATTCACATTCATTAAGAACTTTCAGTGTGCAAAGGATTGTGCTAGCCTCCAGGCACACAAAGAAAAAACAGAAGAGTATCTGCCATGAACTATCATACGCTGGAGTTGGAGTATAGAAATGTAAATACATATGAAGCACATGCAAAATAACACATCAAGAAGCAGAGAGTCCTAAGGAAGAATCAGAAAAGAACTCATGTAATAGTTAGTACCTGAGGGACGCAATGATAGAAGATAGAGAAATTGAAGAAGGAATAAATAAAGAAAAAGGTGAATTTTCAAGGGGGGCAAATACAATTTTTGATAATGAATTTGAATTTGGGCTATGACATTTGAAGTATAATTCTGAATACTTTGATGTTTACTTATTATTGCTAATTAGTTATTCATTATTAGCTATTAATTATTGAACAGATTTCCCATTTGGTGTTGGATGTAATACTTATAAAACTGAATTTTGTGGTTATGTCTTCAGCAATGTGAAATACAAATACAACATCTTAACTCACATAATTGCTTTTTGACTGTTAAAAAGCATTTGATTCAATAGAGCAAAATGTGACCCTAAAGATTCTCTTTCACAAAGCAGTCTTATATTCAGGCATTCAACATATAATACATTTTGAAAGACACTAAAATTCCCACATAGACCCCCACCTCCACCCCAGTCAGGTAACAAGGCTGTACTGTTCTATTATGAAAAGGCAGTTATTGTTGTTTTTGTTTTTGTTGTTGTTCACTCATTTTTCAGTTGTGTCCAATTCTTTATGACCCCATTTGATGTTTTCTTGGCAAATGTGCTGGAGTGGTTTGTCATTTCATTCTCGAGATTATTTTACAAATGAGGAAACTGAGGCAAACAGGGTTAAATGACTTACCCATGGTCACATAGCTAGCTCTGAAGCTAGATTTGAACTCAGTAAGATGAGTCTTCCTGATTCCAGATCTGGTACTCCACCCACTTCACCACTTAGCTGTTACATAATAATACTCTATAATGCTCTACATCTCTTTAATTCTATATGTCTCTACTTCTGTCTCTCTCTCTGTCTAATGTCTCTCTAACTGTCTCTGACTATTTTCTCCCTCCAAAAAAAAAAAAGCAATAAGCTCTGCAACTGCAATATAAGACCATTTTTTAAGAGTCTCTTCAACTGAATTGAACACTAATATTCTAATATCCAGACTGGAAGTCATAGAGTAAGCTATTGACAATAGCTATTGCCTTCTTCCACTTAAGGCTGAGCTGCTGTCACCTCCTGATTTTAATCCCACTATGAAATGCTGACATTTTCAATATGTATTCTAACATTCCTTTCCTAATCACAGGAGTAATATAACAAGAGAACTCAAGATATTTTCCCCAAATCTATGAAGACAGAGGCAAGTTCTTTCCTTAAAGCTTTGTTTGTTTGTTTGTTGCTTTTGTTATTATTATTGTTGTTTTCCATTAGCTGAGCCTGGAGAATTTGTTCTTCTTAGGGTACTTTGTACACAAAATTTAATGCCTTGATTTCAGACAAAAGCAAAATGTAACCAAATTGTAAGGAGAAATAACATTCAGAATTTACTGAGATAAATTACATACAGTGATCAGAGAAGCCTCTTTCAAAAGTGATTCTATTAGTCTCCTAAGACTTATGGTTTTTACCTAGACATGTAGAGCAATTATTTCTTTAGTCTCAACAGTGATAAGATAAAGGAAGTTAACAGAAACTCTCAAATATTCTCAAAACAATCCCTTCACTCACATCTGAACCAGCAGGGCTTCTTCCAGTGTAGTTAGAACATGCTTTTAGCATCTACAGAGTGAGTTTCCATTTTAATCAACTACTGTTTTCCCTCTCTTCTACTTGGATATTTTAAAGTAGCATATGCTATGGCTAACTCAAGAAGAAATTATTCCTAAACTGATTCTAGAGATGTGAAATCCTGGTCTGTGCAACTTTAACAAACTGAAACATAGTACCCACCATGTGCACAGAAAATCATCTCAAACAGATATATTGTGTGAGAGTCATGAGACTTTCTTTGTGGAAATAGATTCTCCACCCCAGCCTCACCCTCACCTTCATACCAGAAAAAAAATTTCTCTGAGCTGAGAATTATATTAACTTTTCCTTTCCCTTCATTTGTTTGTAGAATGACTGAAGGTATTTACTGCACTTCCTCACCTTTGCTGTTCTTTACTGAACTCTGTGACTGTGAACTCCAGCACCCAGTATTTGTCATGAAGTCCTGCTGATTAGAGGTGAGTCTACTCCACCTTGTAGATTTTTATTAGGCAAAGAGAAGCTTCTCCTTGCTGAGCTGAAGGAAGGTAGAGGTATATGCCTGGATCAGTCATTTAGTATCCAAGCTGCTTTTGGAATATACTTAAGAAGCCAGAAACCTTAATTAACTTGTACTTATGAAGAGTAGGGGGAGAGATTTCTGTGAAATTAGACTACTATTCCATTGCATAAATTCTGACTTCAAAATGTTTTAAACATCATGCTGACTCATTGGTTTACACATGGTTACAATGATTTTAAAATGAGTATAAAATTGTAGAGTGTTCTAAGCCTAAGATAAATTTATGTACATTGGTTCTTTGGGATTTATAAATTCCTGAGCAAGGTTTAATTAACATATTGCAAAATTAAGTTGAGTTCGTAAAATATTACTCAATACTACCATTTAGCAGACTAAGAAATAATGTAATGGTTCTCAAGTTGCAAGAGTGGCCATAGCAACCAGTGGGAGACTTCATGCCTTATTTTAATCTTCTCTAACAGTGTTAAATCTGCCCCAGTGTCTCTTAAAGGAGAAAGACCTGTACAAGAGATAGAGGGAAGGGAGAGATGTGTACCTGTTTTATAAGTCATTTTTTAAAGTATTCATAAATGTTTCTATTTATGTAAGATCCCACTGGACCAGGATTGCTATTGCCTTGGTCTAGGCTAGGGAATGTCTAATCAGGAAATTATCTATAATAATGCAGATCAGCAACTTCACAGCAATTTATAATCTTGGTGAGTTGCTTGTATTAGATAATTCAGAAATTAAGTGACTTTCTCAGAGTCACACTTCTATCAGTGTAAATCAGAGGCAGAACTTGAAACCAGATCTTCCTAACACTAACAGTAGCTCCCTTCTAGTATGCCTCCCACCTTTCCAAGTGTCATACTCTAGCAAACTCTGCCAATCCTCAATATCATTAACTATAAACCTCAATATCTTAGCTACATTTTATAAATGAAAGAACTCAAGAAAAGATTGAGGGACTTGCCCAAACTCACATAATCATTGATTAATCAAGCCAGTATTAGGGAACCTAAATTTTAACATAGAAATTAAATTAATATAGAAATCAAATCTAGATTTTTTCATTATACTACACTGCTATCTTTTTGTTTGCCTAACCTTGACAAAAATTACCATATAAATTTCAAATATATGTGTGTACGCATGTATGTGTGTATCTATATCTGTATCTGTAACTAAGTATATCTGTATCTCTATCTATCTATATCTCTATATGTAACTCTATCTAGCTATGTCTGTTATAGGTCAATGTTCCCCAAAGGACATACTTTTGGTTTCTTTCCCTAGAGGAAAAAAGGCTGAATTTAAAGTGAAGAATCAGTCTTCAATTCGAGATTATGAACAAATACTATGGAGAAAAACTAACTTCTTCACTCTGGTGAGGCATTTGCTGGTAAGTTCCTAAGTAGATCATAAGCCTTCTATAACTATCATATTATCTGATAATGAACACATAGTAATCACTAAATAAATAGTAGTTTACTGACTGAAAAAAAATACAATGCTTTCCTGGATGGAGAAGGTAGAAAGCAATTCAAATAATATCATGTACCTAAATACTAGAGGAAGGTAAGAGGGGGCCCTGAGCTACAAATTACCCTAATTTTGAAGACATAAGTACAATTTTTCAGTTCGTTAGCACAGTCTAGAAAAAGTGGAGATTGAATAACAAATTTCAGGTATGTGTAAATACCTTATTTTGGACTTTAGGAAATCTAACTGAAAGCCATAGCAATGTAGAAAGAGCTATGAATTCGTGGTTAGATGGCATATATTAGTACCTAGATTCATCCATTTACTGTTTGTCCTAGCCAAGTCATTTAACCTCTCTGAGCCTAGTTTCCTCATCTGTAAAATGGGAATATTTATACATTTACTATTTACCCTATGTGTGAGCAGTCACCAGCTTTGTCTCTCCATCACTTTATTTCAGTTTCCTTTTTGAAGCATCTATTGGCTAACTAGTATGCGCGGTCCTGCTTTCACAGGTGAAAATGGAAAATGAGAAAACAAGTGTGGAAAGGGAGTGAAGAACATCTTGCAATAACAAAGGGAACACAAAGGATATGGAAAAAATAAGAAGCACATGGAATTTGGGAAAAAAGAAACACATGGGAGGGCTCAACCTCAATCAGAAAATTGGAACCCCAGAGGATCAATGAAAGTAGAAGATTCTAATAGACATCAAAGCACACACTGTATGTGGAGGGCAGGAACACAGACACCGAGTGCAAGAGCATAAAGTCTTAAATCTACCAGAAGCAATATGACTCTAGACTTAAAAAAGCAGAAACAATACAATATCCCCCAATCACTTCAGACCTGGCTTTTATTACAACAGAGCTTTAGTGTTGATTAGGCACCTATTGTATTCACTCTAAGATCCATTTTCCTGAAAGCTTATGCCATCTCTTGTTATAAAAGAGGAAGCAGGCATGCCCCAGTCACAATGGAAAGGTGGATTATGATAGTTAGTGAACAGGAGACAGCCACACTGGTTTTCAACAAAGAGAGTTGGACTATCAGCAGAGCCGTAGAATACCAGTGAGAGAGAGAGGTTAGGATAGAAAGAAGCCAACGAATTGGGCATACAACTAAAAAAAAATTAGAAAAAGAACAAATTAAAAATCCTCAATTAAACACCAAATTAGAAATATTGAAAACCAAAGGAAAAATTAAGAAAATTGAAATTAAGAAAACTATTGGACTAATAAATAAAATTAAGAGCTGGTTTATGAAGAAAAAAAAACAATAAAATAGACAAACTTTTGGTTAATTTAATTTACAAAAAATAAAGAAGAAAACCAAATTACTAGCATCAAGAATGAAAAGGGCGAAGCTACCACAAAGGAAGAGGAAATTAAAACAATAATTAGGAATTGTTTTGCCCAATTATATGCCAACAAATTTGACAATCTTAGTGAAATGGATACATATTTACAAAAATATAAATTGCCCAGATTAACCTAAAAGGAAGTAAAATACTTAAATATCCCCATCTCAGAAAAAGAAATTGAACAAGCCATTGATGAACTCCCTAGGAAAAAATCTCCTGGGCCAGATGGATTTACATGTGAATTCTATCAAACATTTAAGAACAATTAATTATAATACTATATAGACTATTTGGGAAAATTAGTGAAGAAGGAGTCTTACCAAATTCTTTTTATGATACAAATATGGTGTTGATACCTAAACCAGGAAGAGTAAAAACAGAGAAAGAAAATTATAGACTAATTTCTCTAAAGAATATAGATGTAAAAATTTTAAACAAAATATTAGCAAATAGATTACACCAACTTATCACAAGAATAATAGACTATGACCAGGTAGGATTCATAACAGGAATGCAGGGCTGGTTCAATAATAGGAAAGCTATCAGCATAATTGAGCATATCAACACCAAAACTAACAGAAAGCACATGATGATCTCAATAGATACAGAAAAAGCTTTTGACAAAATACAACACCCATTCCTATTAAAAACACTAGAAAGCATAGGTATAAATGGAGTCTTCCTTAAAATAATAAATAACATCTATCTAAAACATTCAGCAAGCATCATACATAATGGGGACAGGCTAGAAGCATTTCCAATAAGATCGGGGGTGAAACGAGGTTGTCCATTATCACCACTGTTATTCAATATTGTACTGGAAACTTTAGCTTTAGCAATAAGGAAAAGGAAGTGAAATTGAAGGTATTAAAATAGGCAAAGAAGAAACAAAGCTATGACTCTTTTCAGATGGCATGATGATATACTTAGAGAATCCTAGAGAATCAAGTAAAAAACTACTTGGAATAATAAACAACTTTAGCAAAGTTGCAGGCTATAAAATAAACCCACATAAATCACAGTAGTCAATGACCATATTAATCTATTATTTGATAAACCCAAAGACCCTAGCTTCTGGGATAAGAACCCACTCTTTGAAAAAAACTTCTGGGAAAACTGGAAAAGAGTATGGCAGAAACTAGGCATGGACCCAAATCTCACACCATATACCAAAATAAAGTCAAAATGGGTTCATGACTTAGATATAAAGGCTGATACCATCACTAAACTGGGAGAACAAGGAATAGTTTACCTATCAGATCTGTGGAGAACAGAAGAATTTATGACCAAACAGGAGACAGAGAACATTAAGAAAAGCAAAATGGATAATTTTGATTACATTAAATTGTTATGCTTTTGCACAAACAAAGCCAATGCAACGAAGATTAGAAGGAAGGTAGAAAATTGGGAAAGAATTTTTACAACCAGTCTCTCTGATAAAGGCCTCATTTCTAAAATATAGAGAGAATTAAGTCAAATTTATAAGAATACAAGCCATTCTCCAATTGATAAATGGTCAAAGGATATGAACAGACAGTTCTCAGATGAAGAGATTAAAGCCATCTATAGTCATATGAAAAAATGCTCTAAATCACTATTGATTAGAGAAATGCAAATCAAAACAGCACTGAGGTACCACATCACACCTATCAGATTGGCCAACATGACAAAACAGGAAAATGATAAATTTTGGAGAAGCTATAGAAAAATTGGAATACTAACGTGTTTGTTGGTGGAGTTGTGAAATGATCTAATCATTTTGGAGAGCAATTTGGAACAATGCCCAAAGGGCTATAAGAATGTGCATACCCTTTGACCCAACACTAGCACTTCTAGGGCTATATCCCAAAGAGATCATACTACTGGGAAAAGGACCCACATGTACAGAAATATTCATAGCAGCTCTTTTTGTGGTGGCAAAGAATTGGAAATTGAGAGGATCCCCATCAATTGGGAATGGCTGAGCAAGTTGTGGTACATGAATGTAATGGAATACTCTTATGCTATAAGAAATGATAAACAGGCAGACTTCAGAAAAACCTGGAAAGACTTACATGGTCTGATGCTGAGTAAAGTGAGCAGAACCAAGAGAACGTTGTACACAATAACAGCCATGTTGTGGGATGACTAATATTGATAAACTTAACCTTTCCCAGCAATACAAGGATCTAAGACATCTCCAGAGGCTTCATGATGGAAAATGCTATCCACATCTAAGAAAGAACTATGGAAGTTGAATTGCAATTTTTTTTTCTCTTCTGTTGAGTTTTGCTTCCTCTTTTTGATGGTTCCTCCTATTGGTTTTAATTTTTACTTACATCATCACTAATGTGAAAATATGTTTAATAGGAATGTAAATGTATAGCCTATATTAGATTGTGCACTGTCTTGGGGATGGTGGGGGGGGGAGGAAGGGGGAGAAAAATTTTAAACTTTAAAGCATATGGAAGTGATTATTGATAAATCAAAATAAATTAATAAAAAAATTTTAAATAGAGAAATGATAGCCTTTGGAACCATTCTCTCCACTTGTTGGTCCAATAATTTTGTTGATCCAATACTTATTATAAGTGTTATTGGACCATACTTCCCTCATCATTCTGCCTAGTTTACTAATTACACAAAGCATCTGATTTAGTTGTATTCAGTTTGTTTGCTATGTTGATGATCTCCTTTAAAGTTTATCTTTTAAAGCACCACAACTTGACTTTTAAACATCTACTACATAAGCCCTCAGAAACATCTTCTGATAATTCAAAAGCACTTAGCAACTTGTAAATTTTAAATATAAAATATTTAAATGGCATGTTGCATCATCATCCTGTCTGCCATCTTAAACTACATTCTAACCAATAACATTGCTTGTTCTTGGCTGTGAAATTTTCCATGAAATTTAAAAGTTACTGTTGTGTCAAAATAATCAACTACTGTTGTTTAACAAATACTGTTGATCAACTCTTTGTGAGCCTGTGGACCATAACTGTCTATGGACACTGGAGTCATTTGCCATGTCCTTTTCCAGTGAATTAAGGCAAACAGAGGTTTAGTGACTTGCCCAGGATCACACAGCTAGCAAGTCTCTGAGGCCAGATTTGAACTCAGGTCTTTCTGACTCCATGCCCAGTGCTCTATCCAATGAGCCATCTAGCTGCCTCAGATGAACTGCTAGTAAAATAATTTTTCTATCCACATGAGCTATGTTGTCTATAAACACATAATAAGATTGTCTTCAACCACTCCCTAAATTCAGCCTGACAGCCCTACATGGAACAACACAAAAATAAATGAACAGATCATTAGAGCACATGATGAATGTGTGTGTGTGTGTGTGTGAAAGAGAGAGAGAGGAAGAGAGAGAGAGAAAGAGAGAGAGAGAGAGGGGGGTTCATATTTAACTGAGCTAATTTTTTTTTTCTGGTTATTTGTTGGATTTGAATTAATCATGCTATTTTGACCATAATACTTGAATCCTATCATAGGTTTTCCCAGTGTTAAATTTATGGCCACAAAGAAATAAAAAACCTAAAGATTTACAAATTAAGGAGAGGGCATGTAATGCATGATTTTTTTCAATCTAATAGAGTCAACATAATTACCATGATATTCTCTTTCTCTTCTTCTTTTTTTCTGTGGCAGTAGAATGGTCTTGACTCCATGATTCCATTAGAATAATGAACATATGAGGAAAAAACTTAGTTTACTGATGATAATTGACATGTACATGACAAGTATAAGTTGAATTCCATAACTTATAGTCTTAGACACTTGCCTGGGCACTGAAAAGTTTAATGACTTGCCTAGGGTGCCATCTAGTTTGTATCAGAGGGAGGATTTGAACCCAGATCTTGCAGACTCAGAAGCCAGTCCTCTATTCACTATGCCATTTTGGTGTTACATTTGTCTGCAAACATGAAAGAAATTAAGAAACTGGTATTGTTTGTCTTAAACAATTATGTCACTATTGAACAGAGATAAAGTGGAAAAGAAAAAACAAAAACAAGTGACCAGGAATTAAAAGATTATATCACATTGGAAAACAGGGTATGAAAATGTTGTAGCCTAGCAGGGCCCTGGATGGAGCAAACATTGGGTTGGGCAGTTTCTCCATAGACCAAAGATTTGCCACAAACTTGGCAGTGGTAGGTCATAAAGTGCTGAAATGTCAAGGAATTAATGGATACGATTTAAATGTATCTGAGGGGATTTGTTTCTTCTTTTTAAATGTAGATATCAAACAATGTTTCATGGTATTTCATTATGAAATCACATTTCATATTTGCTATATATCCTTTGAAGACTACCAATGACTACATGATTTACATAGATCTAATCACGTAGTTTAAAAATTGCTAACTAGGTCTATCTGGTCAGGCCCATACTTATTTTTCAGAAAGGGGTTATATATATAAAAGTATAAGTATACGTGTAAATTGAAAGTTCTTTGGTGCAACTCTTATTTATGTTGTATCTTTGTTCTTACAAGCTTAAGGAAACAGCACGGGCTCAAAAATTATAATCTGTTAGAAATAAATATGACAAAAAATCCTATATTATACGATCTCTACTTTCTGAGATACATTTCTATGAATGAAATTAAAGCACATGCCATTTAGCTATCTATTTTAAAGGATTCAAGAGAGGCAGTTAATTTTCACAAGATATTTTTTTAATACTGAGACATCTAAAGTTACTCCCCATCATTATCTTTCCTAATTGTCTTTTTGTCCTTTGAACTAGAAGCTATTTTGTATGTGGACTTGTTATCCTGACGACACTTTACATTTGCAAGTCTATTATTT